CTCTCTTAGGTTTCCTGTCTATTGAATTACTGCTCCTCAGCACTTTCCAGCATTGTAAGAAAATGTGAAAGGGAGGGGCGAGGCGGCGAGGACGACATGCTGGGAGGATTTGTTGCAGGGGAGAAAGGATCAAGGCGAGAAGGCAGCGCGGGGTCAACGGAGCCCAACAGATAGGTCAGGGTAAACCTGACGAGAAGGACGTGGCCAAGAAGCTACAGACGAAAGACGAAAAAAGTGGCGATCATCGTGAAAACTTAAAGGGGAACAAGTAAGAAAATAACCCTAAAGGTTGAAGTGACAATGAGAAATGATTATGAGCTGTGGGAGTGCCCTGCTGGGGGATAAAAGATAGAAAGTGTGACCGGCAGATCAAACTAAAATTAGAGAGAAAGAGAGAGGAACAGTGACAGACGGACGAGAGAGCGACTGAAAGGAATTGAATGTGTTTTTAATGACCAATGTGCTGCTCAGCAACAGGTGGCGCATTAGGTCAGCCATGACAGGAGCAGCCCTGAGCCAAGACTGTGTGACTGTGTGTGTGTTAATGACATTAGAGGGGTATCCCTTGTCTGCATATACTCAAAGATTAGCAGATATTAGCCCTAAAAATAAATGCAGGGATAACCCGCTGGTGTCTGCGTTCGCAAATGAGAGGAGCATTTAGACTGTGAGATCTGCGCTCCAACAGAGGAAACCGAACCTTTACAGATATAAACAGCAACTTTTACCTGTGACAAATTACTGCCATGTTTGTGCATGAAGCTGAAATTATATACATTTAAAAACCCCCCCACATATAACAATGTTTTCCAGTGTCTAAAACTGGATTGTATTGAATTTTTGGTCAGTTAAGACGCTGCTCCTTAAGGAAGACGTCACATCAACATTGCTCTATAAAACCATTCACACACATTCTTAAGAGCCCTGAGAAGCTCTTCAGTGAGTCTTGTGAGTCTGCTGTGAGTCTCAGCAGACTCACAGCTCCATCAGGTATTTTCTAATTGCTGCTGGCTAGTCTGGAGGAGCTGAGGGGGGGAGGAACGACGTAAATCTCAAAAAGGTCGATTTTTACGTGATAACTCAAGATAAGCTTGTTGGAGGACAATAAGAACATTTTACCCATGTCCTCATGTCATTCAGGCTTCAAAGCTGATTCTACAAAGTAATGACATGTCATAAACAGAAAATAAAAATTCCACCCAATCTAACACAGAAAAGGTTTAGTCTGATTTAATGTCAAACAGTGAGGGAAAAGGATAACGCATTTTCAGGTCGGTACAGAGACACAATGTCTGGTTTCAGCTTTATGGTCATTTATAGTTCATAATCACAACTAAAGAATGCATCTGAGTCAACATCTATGAGTATTTGAGAAGTGACAATAGCTCAGGTGATGAGGATGATGATGATGATGCTTCCTTAGTAAAGTGACAATCCCATCATGACGCACTTTCATCACTTCCCCTAACGAATACAGAGCTGCTGTAAATCTTAAGCTGATAACTCACAACCTCATTAGTTCAGTACAGACAAAAATACTGAGAACAGTGAGAGAAGGAAGTTTTGTATTTGTTTTAGAGTACGCAGCTGATTACATTAGCTATTAGAGTTATATTTAGTCCTAATGTGTCTGTATTTGTGTGGGTGGGCATGTGGGAGAGAATGTTTTTTAAGGAATGGAAGTTTTTAGGCCAGTTAAGCAGCTTGCTAAATAACGAGACACCAAGTTTTAATTTTACACCCGGTGTATTAAAATCTGGTGTTTATGACAGCAAGTCTTCATGAGAACGTCGGAGAGTGATCAGCTGGTGATCAGATTTATTTATTCAAGATGCAGCCGGTCGTCCTTCTGCCTGGTGTAATGAGCTCCAGTGAACAGAGTGCATGCAGTTAAACATAATTCACAAATGTAATTATTTTTGGATTTGTGTGAACTTTAACCTCAAGGGAATAAATGTTTTACACGTCTATCTCTCTACAATGTTTCTCCATTAAGCCATTTACATCCGTTCATAGGAGCGATGCACTGAGAAGTGGCTCCTATGATGACCTCAGGTGTTCAGCTCCACCAGGTGTTTACTAATTGCTGCTGGCTAGTCTGAAGGAGCTGAGAGGGGGGAGTCGTAGGAGAGCACCGCTTTGAGCCAAAAGCTCACCGTGGAGACCGCGGCCCTGACTGCGGCGCTCAGTGGGAGAAAGCGTTCAGGTGACCCCCGAATGGTCGCCATGGAGATTCAAGCATGAAAGAAACAAAGCAACACTCCAGTACGTTTTTGATGAGGGAATAACTTTTTGACATGATGCAAAGCTGAAAAACGTTGATTTTACATCACACTGCCCCTTTAAAGAGTTTTTAAAAATTGTGAAAGAAGTTTTTCACTTCTACTTTTAACATGGTCTCCATTTGTCTGATGTTTAACATTTCAAACTGGTTTGGAAATATTTTGAGAATGTTTTTGATTCAGCCATCATGTTTACCCCACGTCTCCCCCAGCGTCCGTCAGAGAACAGAGAAGTTCTCATCTCCAGCTCTTCCTCTTCCTGCCGCTCTTCTAGTGTTCCCATGGAAACCAGCTGTCAACATGGCCAACACAACCCAGGCGCTTGTTGAGGCTTTCTGTCAGTCTTGCTTCTTCTATTTCCATATACGTGTTTGTTGTGTGTGTGTGTGTGTGTGTGTGTGTGTGTGTGTGTGTATGCGTATGTGCGTGCGTGCATGTGTGAGTGTGTGTGTGTGTGTGTGTATGCGTGTGTGTGTGTATGTCATCTTAAGTACTTATTGGATTTCACCAGCAGACATTTTTTGAAAACACACACTCACCTCGATGTCTATTCACAATCCCTAAATTCTCTCTCTCTCACACACACACACACACACCAAATCACAGAAGCACAACAGACTTCAGCAGCTGGCCTGACCTTGAAGATAAATACAACCTCAAAAAATGTTTCTGCAATTTATGGCTGGCGATGGCCTGACATGCGATCAGCCTTTCAGCCCATCCATGTCAGGCAACGTGAAACTAGATACGGAGTCAACAAGCGCTTCGTTCACACTCACACACACTTTTATGCACCGATGTATTTCAGTGCACTTGTTGGTTTGTTTCTGACAGTCAGCCAGTTTCAGTCAAGCAAATTCTTATATTCTTTTTTTCCCTCTCACAATCACTTTTTTCTTGTAGGATAAATGATTGGACACTTCACTCTGACATCAGCCTCTTAAACAAATATTAAGACTTTAAAGTGAGTGGAAATAAGTCTCAGTCGGGTAGAAAGAAGAAGTGAAAGCGAGCCGGTTATCACACCCAGAACACGTCGGCCGCAGCCTCTTTTGTTTTCTGTTTAGACAAGCTGGTAGCGATGAAGTTCTGCAGCTTTAATAAAACCCAAAACACTGATAGTTCAATTTTTTAGGTTTTAAGCAGAGCTGATGTCACTGAATGAGATCAAGAAACCAAAATCAGGAACCGTTTCACAGCAGATGCCAAATCACTGGTTCTACTGAACATCTGCCTTCAGCATTTCAGCAGCTCTGCTGACATCTAGTGTCAGGAGCGTCTGGTTGTCCGACTGTCACCACATTTCAGTTGTTTCACTTTTAAATCTCAGGCTGTCTTCTGTTTTTTCAGGTGTCAACAGGGGACAAAAAGAGGTCAGAGGTCAACACTGGATCAATTCAGATTGAAATAGTGGATTTAAGAAGTGTGTGTGTGTGTGCGTGCGTGCGTGTGTGTGTGTGTATGTGTGTGTGTTTCCCTTCAGATGAGGAGGAAAAAAAGTGGAAATATGAGGTCATGTTTCAAAGAAAACACTGACGTTGGATAGAGAAGTTCCAAAAAGTGACTCCTGTGTTTAGCTTTTCAATCTGCAGAACTAAATTAGAGCTTGGTTCTGGGTTAGATACCAACTTATCACCTTTAGTTCTGAAATCTGCAGTTATAACAACACTACATCTACTTCTTTTTTTTGCCTCACCACTCGTCTTCAAGACTCTGGAACCTTGATTTCAAAACAAAATGCAAAATTGACTCTCATCTTAAAACATCTGCAAGGGTCAGATATTTTTTTTTGTCCTCAGTCCAGGTCAGACAGACCCGTTTGATGCTGTCTCAGGTTCAGCAGTGGCAGGATGTGCATCAGTTGCAGCCCGTATTTGTGCAGTGGCTCCTGCACCTGTAGCTGTGTTTCTGTTACAAATGTGCACAAAACTTTGTAGATAATCCGCTAATGTTGGCAAAAAGAAAACAAAAAAAACACAGTTTCACAATTTGGGTCTTTGTATTACATAAGAAACGCAATTAAAATCACACTTGTGTACATTTGTTCATTAAGTCACCATGATCCACGACCCTCCAACCACTTCCTGTCGTCTTCTTCGTGGTTTTCACCAGTAGTAACCATCCGGTTGTTGTTTCATTCTTGTTTTGCAAAATAAACCAATGTCGAGGCCAAAAACAAATAAAGCTAAAGCACCTCATCCTAGCATCAAAACTTTTTTCTTTTTAATCAAAAAGCTTTTTCTGACTAATTTGGCGAGTTTCTCTTATGCAAATTCAATGTACGCAGCTACTCACTCCAGCGGTGATCTGTAAATTGTGGATCTCCTCTAAACTCTTGAACAATTTTTCTACTGCATATTTTCCTTCCAGTTAACTTTAAATATTCAATTCTGTAAACAGCTAAATTCCTAAGAAATATTTTCAGTGGCTTATCGGTTACTGCTTGAAAACTTTCAACTCAGGTCTCCTTCCTGCGATTATTTAACCCACGACAAGGCAATATGACATTTCTAAATTTGAAAAAGCACTTCCATTTGTCTTATGCAAAATCCAGGTTATCGGGAGACTGAATTTTGTTCGTTTTCGTTCGCTGTTGAATCCAAAATGAACAAAAATAAACCTCCAGCAGGCCACTCTGCTGAAAGTGTCAGCTGATACAGAGTGATAAATGAAATGTTTGATATTCTTCACATGCGCCAGTATTTACATCCTGACTATTTGGTGACGTTTCCCCGCCCTCGCAGCCAGGCGTTCTGCAGAACACCGGGTCCTCTCATGAATCTTTTTTTAGGGAACTTTCGCTTCCTGGCTCTTGCCCGTTTCCGCATTGTTGCGCCTCTTCAGCCACTAGATGCCCGAAGCGTCTCTCCTCTCTTTGACGTGTGAGCGATTTATTCTTTTCTAGCTCTCCTAACAGACGCTTCTCCTCCGGATCGGAGTCCCATATTTTTTTGTTCCTCTTGTGTCCGGAACCGAACTGCGCGCAAAACATGTCTCAGCCGCAGCAGCTACGAGACGAGAGGTGAGTGTCCGCAAAAACTGGTAGTGAAAGGAGAGAGTTCAGTTGATTTGATCGTTCACCTGATTTCTGAAGAGGTAATGAAAGTTTGTGACAAAAAAGTTTTTCTTTTTCTTTTTCTTTTTTTTTTTAGTAAGTTGCGCAATGTTTGCATTGTTTTGTGCTGGAAACGATTAAGAATTTAATTCAAATTCAGCCCCTTTTTTGTGTGGATGCAAATAAAACTGGTTCTAATCAGAACAGAAGAAGCGGAGAACTGAACATTGTAACTCATCACGTCTTTCCATTTTGCCAGTGACTTTGACCAGCTGCCAGACAACATCCCCATCAGCGCCACCATCGCTGACATCGAGGAGAAAAAAGGTTTTATTGATTACTTTGTAAGTCTTAACGGATTTATTCTCATAAATCATTCAGGAAAACAAACCTGGGTAGTTTAAACGTGACGTTAACAGCCGTTTTTAAAATCCCTGACACTTTTAAAAGTTGCATGCTATTATTGGTTGTAATAATTATAAGCACTTAATATAACTTGTTTTAATAACCAGAAACAATAAGATAGAGTAAAACATAAATGAATGAATCAACTTGTATTTTGAAGAAATTTTCACATGGCTTCAGAGTTTGAAATTAGCTTGCATAAACAGCAGTAATAATATATAATATTTTCATGCAGCAAAACTGTCAACAGCTGGGGGGAAAAAATCACAAAACCAAAAATTTTATTTTTCAATTTGAGAAGTGAGAAGAAATAAAAGATTATCCTGACTGATTGTTTATGACCAGAATAGAATTGTTTATAACACTATGTTTAATGTATTTCTTAAATGCATGTTTTTTATATGTCCATATTATCTTATTTTTATTCTCTGTGATTTAAAAAAAAGCCTTTACTGTCCTTGAATTGGAGAAAATACCCAGCGATTCCAGTGTTCGTACACTACCATGTATCTTTGTTATAAAGTCTTTTCGTTTCTATGATTAGTATAATTCTCAAACAAATTCTGTAATATAGAAAATGTAATTTAAATTTAGGTCTCTAGTAAACTGTAAAAAAACAAAAATAGAAAAAGTTGGGTTAACTGAAGAATGAGAAAACTTATTGGGCCCCAAATAGATTCTGCCCAGGGCCTCCTTCATTCTGGGGCCGGCTCTGCATGCAACGTTTAAAATGTTTTTAGTGCCGCAGTGACGTGTTTTTCTGTTTCTGTTACCTTCCTAGAGGTTTGTGGTGGAGGTGAAGACAAAGGGAGGCAGTAAATATCTGATCTATCGGCGCTACAGAGAGTTTTTCAGCCTCCACCAAACCCTGGAGAGCAAATACTCCCCTGATGACCCGGACCGGCCCGGGCCCAACAACAGCTGCGTCCTGCCTCCTCTTCCAGGTCAGCTGATAGAGAGACACACAACTCATCAGGGTGTCACATCCCATGTTGCTCAGATACGTCTCTGTCATGGGCTATAATTATGTCGTTATTGTCAAATCAGACTAATGTCCCTGAGAAATCCCTAATATGAGGGTTTTTTCTAGTCGTGATTCTTTCTCCCATGTCAGACAGAATCTACACAAAAAATGGGTGGAATTTTTTCAAGCTAAAAAACTGTAGCCTGAATTTTAGTTCAGATCAGTTACAGAACAACAGTTCATGGTGAGCGTTTGATTTATTTTAAGAACTGGTCAAATCTACCAAGGTGTCTCGTTATAAGGCAACTAAACACAGTTCCTCTGAGGTCATTCCTTTTTTTTCACCTTATCTGACTGTAGTGCAAGCGTAGTGTTGGAGTGTTGCCTTTTTTTGCAGTCGCCATTCCGGTACTTTCTATCATTAACAAATGCCACGACCAAAGCAGAGAAAGGCGACTGCTACCAGGCTGTTCGTCATCCGCCGTGCTGTTGTGACAAGTAGAAGCGGTGATGACGTCACGCGTCGAGACGTTCTCCATATGTTGCTAGCTGGCTAAAGACTTCTGTGAAACGTAGAACAGGAGCGACGCCAAGTGGAATAAACCAAATTTTGTCACACCCTCATCATGTCTTTGTCAAAGCCAAAGCCTGCAGTTCATGTATTGGAGAAATAATTAAATGTTGATGACATTTGAGGATATTGTTTAAATCTTTTTGTGGAATCCTTTATGTGGCCCAACTACACCCAGACTCTGCCTTCAGTGGCCCCCGAGTAAATTGAGTTTGAGACCCCTGATTTAAGTTAAGTTAAGCTAAATTATGTTAAATTAAGCTAAGTTAAGCTAAGCTAAGCTATGTTAAGTTAAGCTATGTTAAGCTAAGCTAAGCTAAATTAATGTTATCTGTGTATCACATCTCAGCAGCATGGCTGTTCAAAATTCTTCACATGATAAAAACGACATACAGTCACCAGCTATGAAACAACCAAACATTGCGTTTTTCATCTACCGTAATATAATAAAGCATCTTGTGATGTCATCAATGTAAATACACACAGAGCGGTATTTTATTGTGGGGTTTTAAACGTGTTTAGCCGACGTGTCATTCATATTTCCTTTGGATATTTTTGCACTTATTGTGCATAACGAAGCAGACTCTCTCAGATATGATAATTATTGGAGCACTGATTGCAGTTTTCTGGCCGATCACCAATCTTTAAAACACCTTTGTTGTTCATTCTGATTTGTTTTTTTGTTTTTTTTTTTGCGATACTGATGGTTTTTTATTTTAGTCTGAAAAGTGACTAAACATGGTGACGAAGGTGACCTGGTTTCTGTCAGTCAGTCCTCTCTCCTGGCAGAACAAAAGGCAACAGTGGCTGAATTTTAGACCTTTGGATCAGTTTTAGATGTAAATATCGACCAATCAGATCACCCAAAATTAAGGAAATCTATGCCAATATACTGCTGCATTCCCTTAATAGCAATCAATAGGACTTCATCTTTCTTAACAGTTACATTTCCTAGAAATGTGCTGTCTGTTCACTTTGATGTAACAGCTATGCTATAAAGGATTGAATATATTACACAAGAACAGATAAATATGATTATGTTTTACTGCCAGTGGCAAGATGCAGAATAAAGTTCTCTGTGGTGAGGATAATTCCTCCTGAAAGTCCAGAACACCAGGGAAGTCTTCATCGATCCTCCCACTGCAGATTTCTCAGAAAACGCTAAAAAAGAAACATTTTCCCAGAATGAGTCAAGAACACACACCAACAACTCCAACACACGCGCGCACACACACACGCCTCATGATTGACCTTGTAAGTTAACAACTAGCATCATTATTTATCAGTTTTTTTTTCTTTACGGCAGGACTAATTTATTTTGATTTGTTTGAATACTTTCCATATTCTACTTCATTGAATCCCTTTGACTGTATGGACGTGCTTTTAGAAAAAAAACCTGCAAAAATTCCTCACAATTTAATGAAAACATTTTCTTCCATTAGCGGTGACTAATGGAACAAAAACATTTACTACTGTTTGTGTGGAGAAGAAAAGAAGAAGTGTAATCAGCGTGGTGGCTCTAATTTCTGGTTTCACCGTCGCCGTGGTGATTTTCTGCCACCGGCCAAACAAAGAGGAAACGCTCCGAGCTGCTCCGCCGCGCTGGAAAAGCCCCGCCGCTCTCTAACCTTTACATTAAAATGTTTATCCATTACGCTTTGTGTGTACAGAGACAAATAGATTTTATAAAAAGTCTTTCTCACCGCAGCATCAAAACATCATGAACGCAAATTTAAAAGCAGATGAAGCCATTAGTTGTGTTTAACACTTTTTGTCACTATTTGTAAATCAAATATATCCATTTAAATCCTGAACTGAAACACAAACTGGGATTTAGAAGTTTAGTTTTTCAACCAGGACAAACTTAAAGCTCTCACATTTTACCATCTTGGGTGGCTGTTTGCTGTAGAAAGAAGCTACAATAGCAAAAAATAAAAATAAGAATTGTGGCTAAATTAGTCAGAAAAGCATCTCCCACCTCTGCTGCTCCAACCTAAAACTTTCTTCTGTAAATTCTGTTTGCTGCATGAAGTTTCTTCACCGGAAAACAGAGAAGTGTGTGTTACACCGACAAATATTTCAGTTTTATTGTTTACCACTAAGTAAAGATTATTTTTTCCCCAAAATATTTTAATCTGTCAATACATACTAGGAGAACAACAACAACAATCACTTTTAGTAACTTTTCACAAAATGTAAAAATTGATCAAAGTTGCCAGGTTTCGATAACATCCACCTTAAAAATGACTGGATGTGCGTGATATTCAAAAGAATATATGGAGACTTTAGGGTCCGTTCACACTGGGCCTATTTAGTCCACCTTAATCCTGTTTGTTTGCCTGTTCAGTCCGGTTTGTTTGTTGAGGTGTGGATGTGCAATCGGGAACCAAAAACCTTTAAAAAAAGAAGCATCACTCTAATTTTCAAAGGCATCAGAAACAGTGCGTCCTCGTTACGTTGCCTTCGTCTTTTCTTTGCCTTTGTTCAGCTCATTGTTTTTCCAGAAGTCTGTCTTTCTGGGATTTGTCATCAGCGTCTACATTGATTATGCCTGGAAGCCACTATTTGAACCAATAAGAAGCTGGCGCCTTCAAGTTGGTGGCATTGATCTGGAGGGTGGAGGTCGGTGTGCGTATGGACTACATAAACCCATAAATGTCGTTGACATGCGGTGAACAACATCTATGTGGAATCCGTCTTGGTTTAAGACTTCATTTAACAAAAAAACAAAAACGCAGTTTACTTAAACAACTTGGCGTCGTGTTTTCTGGACAAAGTGGTCTGATTTTCGCATAAATGTTCACATTTCAAGAAATCCCAGCATCGCTCTCAGTCCCTCCTGGTTTGACCCGATGTGTTTCTGGGTCAGAAGCGATATCTACTCCCTCCGTCAGGTTCTGGATCCGCCCCTAGTTCTTCTCCCATCGGGACGCGACCCGTAAAACATCCACAAGACGAACACTGAAATGTAGATCTTTCTTTAACCCAATTTGTTCTTTGAAAGTCCGTAGTCAAAACGTCTTTATTGGGAACAATGTAACACGTTAAAAAACAACAAAAAAAAAACCTTAAGGCTATGATGTGATTCACTATATTAAGAAAGTTCTACTTTCCCACAAACTCAGATATAGCAGCTGCCACTATGGAGTCTGCTGGTTTAATTGGACTACCAGATCTCATCAGGATGGAAAGGGAATAAGGAAGACAGTGGGGACAAGGGGCTGATGGGAAGACGGGCTAAAAGAAAAACAACACAGACTCCCTCTCGTCGGTTTAGGCTTCTCTGATTAAAGGGGGGAAGCACATTAAGACGTTCGTGTCAGAATTTGCTTTGGCTTGTTTCCTCTTTCCCCACTTCCCAGTTGGTGAGGAAAGAGGATGACCGACATTACAACACGTCCAAAAACCAGGGGGATGGATGACGACTGTTGGGGCTAAATTTAATTAAACAGCATCGATACATGGATGAATGTCTGGGGAACAATCTAGAATCATAGCCAATCTCAGACGAATCTGAAATGTCGTGTTCTTAGTTTGAGTAAAACACACCTCAGTATTTCCTGTTAGTTGTTTGATACAGAGACAAAAAGTCAACCTGATGGATGTTTTGACCATTATTATGGCTTAATATTAAAAGGTAAACCTCATAGGATTGTGCTCAGATCTTCCAAATAAATACAATTTTGAATTTTTGCTTGGAGCGTGTGGGCATGCTGATACTTTCATTGCCCTAATCACTGTTTAACTTTAAAAACAATATTATTTCTGTAAAACGACACTTTTCAAATCACTAAAACTGCTACTGGGTGGTGAAAAACAAGTATTCATCACCCTTCAGATTTCTTCTGTTTGCTTTATTTGTCTCAGATCATGATGGATTTAATATTGGATGAATATAATCTCAGTAATTACAAAAAGCAGTTTTTAAAATAGCGATTCCATAGATTAATGGTAAAAAAAAAATACAAACCAGCCTGGCCCTATGTAAATAACAATGCAATGTCTCTAGCCACATGAAGTGTATTTACCACCAAAACTTCTGAAATAAATGAAGTCATAAAAATGGCTCCTGTTCAACAGCAAGAAGTAGGGATAACATAATAAAAGGCAACACTGTGCTGCAAAATACTATTTAACTTTGTCAAACTCAAAACGTCAAACATCGTGTTGGTAGTTTGATGGTTCCATCCTGATGTGATAAAATCCTGACTTGGACTTTAGGACATAAACTATTTGCCCTATTTGTTGGAATCATAAATTCTACCAAAAATAAAAAATAAAAAAGAGAGAAACCTCTTACAGAATAATGTGCAACCATCAGTTTGTGACCTTTAGCTCAGGAGAACTCGGGTCACGCAGCAGAACAATAAAAACTAAAAACTAGCTGCAGGTTCCTACACCAATAGTGGAATCGCTCTACTTTGAATTGATACCAGATGCAGAATTGATTTAATAAAGTCAACCAATTAATTAGGATACCATCTTAATATATTGATTTTATAGAGCAAAACTACGCTAGCATATGAAGCCAACCAGCGCTGCTGTACGGTTCGTCAAGACACATCAAAATAAATCACTGCCCATTCTGTAAGCGGGTGAAAACTTTTTTAAGCTGCAGTAAAATAACCTCTGCTCACTGTCTTTACAGTAACATGTTGACAATAATCCATAGTTTATGCAGCCTTAGTACATCAGATACGTGTGGTAAATTGGGAGTCATGTGAAATCTTGAACATAAAGACAAACACCTGAAGTGCAACAATGTCTGCTCCCCTATAGGCAACGTCTGCAAGGAAAAAAATCTTTTAATTCCTCTCATGTCTTTGTGAATTTTCACTTTGACTGCAGGAAAAATCTACATCGGCAACAAAAAGGAGATTGCAGAAAACCGGATCCCTGAACTCAACACGTACATGAAGGTAATCACATTTGATTTTCATGTAAAGCGTTTCTTTTTTTTTTTTGACATTTAGTTCAAAGGAGAAGGAATTGCTGGCGCACTCGCAGTCTTCTGCGCTGTGCGATGCAGAAACCTACATCTTAGTGGGCAGAACGATGCAGTAGGTGGATAAGCACCGACTCAGATATTTCAGCAGTAGTTTGGAGATGGAGCTGAACGTGTAGGCGTTTCTGCTCTCTTCTCTTTGCTCTGCCCTGTGCCCACATCACGTCTGACTGACTTCAGTTGTGGGACTTTTGACATGTTTCGCTGCTGCTCCATTGCTAAAAACACGATCAGGTTCTGTTTCTCCCACTCACTTTCTTCTCTTCCCTCCTTTACTCTTGTTCTACTACAACCTACGTTGCTCTCACTTCTCACACTCTTATCGCCTTTGCTTGCCTTGCACTTGTAATTCTCGTCATCTCCTCCGTTTTCATCCACCTCACCGCTACACTTTGCCTTGTCCTTGCATTTTCCCATCACTGCAGTTGTTGTTAAGCCTTTCAAATATTTGCTGGCATTTCCAGATGTTAATTGACAGAAGATGATTCAGGTGTGCCAAACCATGTGAGTTTTACTGAACCCAGGGCAGAAATTAGCAAACCCAATGCTCTTGCTACAATCCTGTCCTTGACTACTCTACTTTTTTTTAACCCTAGCGTGGTCTAAAGAGACCATCATTTGGACCCCATGAGTTTTTTACTCAGTGTGCGGTCCAACAGGGTCACACTGACCCCGTGTGCACTTTTACAAGGTTTTTGTTTGTTGTTGTGTAGTTTTGGGAACTGACGGTCTGGCGGGACAAGCCCTTTGCTTCCCCACTGTCAGACTGTGACATTTGTTGTGCTCCTCTTTATTGTTACGCTAAGACCACAGAAGTTTTTTTTATTTATTATTCTTTCCGTAAAAGATTAAGTGCATAGTTATGCTTTAGTTAACTTTTATGGCAAACAACCAAAGCAGTTCAGTATTGTACTGTTTCCAGTTTCCCTTCATCAAGACACCTGGTTTCTCTACAAATTCATACATCCACCCATCTGCTGCCTGTTTGCCTAGCCAAAATTGGCATGCAGAGTTAACAAGAACAGTAAAGAAACCCGGATATGCTTCTTCACAGTGACACTCTACAGCTCTCACCAGGGAATCTTAAAGGCATTTAAAGACAAGAAGGGATAAATACTCCCTCCAGTGGGTTTTGCTCCTGCATTGGGGTATCCTCCAAGTACGACATGGTGGAAAACCTCCAAAGAAAGTTACCTAGGAAGGAAGCTCCCCTTACTGACCTCAGCTGCAGAGCAACAGCAGTTGTACTTTGAGTTGTCTCCAAATGAATGAACTCTCTAAGGTTGAGTCCAGCCATCTAAGTCTGCTGCTTGTGTTGATGATCAGAATGTAGCTAAATCGGTAATTCATCACCTTTACATAGCAGGAAAGCATCTACATTACTAGTGACAAACCTGTCAGTCGATCCATCTCCCACTCCATCCTACCGTCTCTCATGAACAGAACACCAAGAGACTTGACCTGATGAATAAAACTGACCCTTGACCCTGAGGGAGCAGTCCACCACCACGGAGTGGAGCATGGGATGAAGGTGGCAACAGTGGTAGGAGCTTGTCCTGGAACCGGTGGGTTGCCAGTTCACTTCCGCCAACCCCACTCTGCTCCTTCAGACTAGCCAGCAGCAGTTAGCAAACACCTGGTGGAGCTGAACATCTGCTGGGCTCATTATAGGAGCTACTTCTCAGCTCAACGCTGGTGAAAATTATGTTAAAGGGTTAATAGAGGAGCCATTTTGTGATGACTTCCTGAAGGCGGAGTTTCAGAAAGAGCAGGAGTTTCTTAAAAAGACAGAGGCCCGATTTCAAGCGTTAAGTTGCAAAGTAAAATTTTTTTTTAAGTCACATATTAGATATACAATATATAGCATTTTACTAACAACTGAAGTTAACAGTTAATTGCTTGTGCTATAAAATGGCACTTTGTGCCTGGAAAACACATAACACTTTAACCCTTGTGTTTTACACACGTAAAACTTGTATCATTTGCCATAGTCCTCAACGTTTACCTCAGTCCTCGCACACACAAGGGTTAAGTCACAAACATAACAAAAACGGTTCAGCAGAAAATTTTTATTAATATAGAGATAATATAATAATTATTTCACATGGCAAAAGAAAAAAAATATTGGGGATTTTTTTTCACTTTTGTGAAAACCCTCATCCCTGTACTCTTTATTCCAGAGGTGTGCAGATTCGTTTTTCTTAAATCCAGTTTTTGTGCCAAAAAAGGTGCTAATATGATTGTTACATTGTTCATGCATCTGTTTCCTCATCCTTATTCTTTATCCTTTTCATATCATTGAGGATAGGGAGGCACTGCATCCACCCCCAACTCATCCTTACTTCTCTCTCCTCAGAGGCTGCTTGGTCTTCCAACATGGCTGCTACTTGATGATACTCTCAGGATGTTCTTCTACCAGACGGAGCAAGACAGTCAGCACGCGCCTCGGGCCCTGAGGCGTCTTCGTCCACCCACCCGCAAAGTGTAAGCCTGGCCGCTTCAAAATAAAAGTACTACTGAACAGACTTACAGTGTTGCCTAAAGCAAAGTGCAGTGAACCTTTCCCAGTGTTTAAAGCAGCCTGACAATAATACAGTCAACACACCAGTGCCTGGATTCTGGTTGGGAATCTGGGAAGTAGGTTCCAGTCTCTACGCTGATGACGTTCATCTGTTTATCTTATTATTTTAACCAGATCATATGAGTCGGTAGCGGTCACAGTTATTTGGCAATTGGTTTGCTGGAGCTGAGATTTTATTTTAAATCTGATCAAATGTTTCACCCTTAGTATCTGTGAGCAAATTCAGCTGAGACTTGACAACAAAGTTTGTCTTTGCCCCAACTTTCTACTACCAGTTTTTGAAAAAGTATCTTCTGCTAAGTATTTGTAGACGATCCCTTGGGATTAGCAACCTGTTTTTGCTTTCAAGGTATGTAGGTCAGAGTTAAGTACATTACAAAACACGTTTCTCTGAAACATGGTCCGGATTTAGATTTACAATGTTTGAAAAAAAAGCCAATTTTTAAACGTGAACGAAGGACTAAGCATGACCCCAGACCTTTGACCACTTATGTCACTATCTTGACAAACATTAATTGAATCAAAATATGGTTGTGTTTATTTCAGACAAATTAGGCTACCGTAACTTCTTTAATGTGACCTGCTTTTTTAAGAGCTCTCTAGGAATCCTATCAGCTTTCTGTTGTGTAACAAAGGAACAACCCGAGCTAATATTCAAACTATGAGGAAGCTCCTGTGATCATTTCCAAAGGAATTATGAAATACTAAGCGTCTTCAACTTTAGAGTTGAAGACGCTGTGGGGAGTGTCAGTTTACAGTACGAGTTCATAATAAATGCTGTAAATGTTGCTGGATGTCATCAGCGGTCTGATGTCGGACGGAGTCACAGGGATGTTGGAGTGATGTTGACTCCAGTCAATTCAGTGGAAGTGAAACTTCTCTGCCTTAGTCTCATTAATCATATGTCTGACTGGAACGATTGACACACTGTAAAAAAAAAAATACTGGCAGCTGTGGTTTTTATACCATATAAATATGTTTAAAAAAATATGTTAAAATCCATAAAATCCAAAAATCCACAGCCAATACCGTATTTTTACTGTAAAATTCTGCTGCTGGTATATTATCGTAAATTAGAGACAGGTTATGTTTTTTAAAACATAAGATTCTTTATGTTTATATTAAATTTTATATACTTATATATTTGTGCTCTTGTTTAGGGTCTAATTAATACTTTGTAGAATAGCCTTTATCTGAACAACAATCTCCAACTATTTTATCACGTTAATTATTATTATTATTATTATTTATTTATTTATTTATTTATTTATTTATTTTATTGCAGAATTGCTCATGCTAAGTCAGATTGGATAAAGTGCATCATAAAATCCTGAGAATTATGTCTCTATATTTTTCCACTTCACAGGTATACAACAGGTGTGTGTTGATCTATCTCATAAAATCCTAATAAAATACATTAGGATTGTAATTTGACCAAAATGTGAATGTTCAATTGTATGAACAGGCCTGCAAAGGCTACATGTTCTCACATTCCTCTCAGTTTCTGGCTGCGTTGAGCCAAGAAGCAGAGAAACAACGCAACGCAACGTTACACAAAAATCTCCTTCCTCTTACCTCACAGCTCTCAGAGCCTCTCATTGGCTCGTTTTCTTGTGGTCCATTCAGAGTTAAGTGAAGGCTCTCTCAACAGGAAATTATGCAAAGCTTTGACTTCTTCCCCTGCCCTGTTCCTACCTTAAACCAGTTCAAAGAAAAATTCACCTTTTTTTTTTTTGGAAACATTCAAGAAACCGACGTTTCCTCTTTTGAGTGTCTTACTCTGAGACTGTTATTATGTTTGAAACCATTTCTCTCGTTCGGCGTTCCCTTCAACTCTTCAGAGCAGAGATACTTCTTGAGGTAAATAGGACGTTTATTTTTAAACCGGTGTGCTTTTTTTTTTTTTTTGACAACCTGATGCATTCGTTTTCTTTTTAATCATATCGCATTGTGTTTTTGCTGGAGCATGAAGTCGCTGTGATTTCTACAAATTTTGTTTTTGACCAAGGAAGATAATTTTGTTATCTGTATAATACAGGCAAACCAGTTTTTTTGGGAGGATTTCGATTCAATTATTGAAGTATTATGAGTTTTGATTTTCTTAAAATCATTTAGATGTTAAGAAAAAATGTAATACTGCACATACCTTGTTAATTATGAAATTTCTGTACACTATTTGCATTTTATTTTCATATAAAGGACGAGAAAGAATAAAAATGCCAGATTATTTTTATGCTTGTAGTAAACTATTAATACTTAAGTGATTTGTTAAAAATTGATTTGAGGTTAAATTCATTTTTTTTTTTGTATGATGAGGACATTTTGGTGCCAAATTTGAATCTAAGACATCCAAATATTTCATATAAAAACAGCCTTATAATGTATTTTTGCATTTTTGGAAAATGAAATACATAAATCTCATGACAGCACATCTAATTTCTCAGGACAGATTTCAGGCAAACCAATAGCACATAAACGTCTAAACCGCTCCGGTGTCCCGACCGAAAATACACACATTAAGTCGTCCTCTCGCTGTGAGCCGTGGATTATTTTTGGAAAAGCTTGCTCTATCAGTTTGCGTGTTTTTCACCTCTGTCTCCTTCTGCAGACGACGTTCAGTTGCGTGACTCTTTCTACGTTTCTCTTTGTGTTCTAGGAAAACAGTAAAAGAACCAAAGATGGACCTCTTCTCCTCCCCCAGGGCAGAGGTACATGCAGCCACATTGGTTTTTTTTTTTCTTCTTTTTTTGTTGCTTTGGCTACGATCACTTCCCACAGAGCTGCAACCTCGCAGTTAAAGCAACCACGCAGAGTGCACTAAATCACCCAGAAACATCCTGTGTTATCCTGTTAGCAGCACCCAGTTGGCTTCAGTGCAACTTATGATACACACACACACACACACACACACACACACACACACACACACACACACACACACACACACACACACACACATATATATATATCAGTAGAGTCCTAACACTACCTGAATTAAACCCTGAGTTGCTACAGAAGTTTTAAAGGGCATAATTTTAGAAAAGTTGATTAGGCTAATTCTATACAACAATTCTTGCAAATTAATAGGAAATACATCAAAATTTGAAACGGCACATAAAATTCTACACAATCTGAAAATGAAAAAAGTGAAAAGAGTTAAAGAACTAGAACTAACCATACAGTAAAGTAACACTGACATCTTTCATACAATGCCGCTTTATTCAAATTGGAAAAAAAAAGAAGAGGAAATGAGATCCAACTTAAAACAAGTGAGTTAATTTGTTGAATGTAATTAAGTTAAGTTTGCCAGCCTTAATTTATTTACGTTGGTTCGACATGAAAACTTAACAAACCAAATATTTTACTCAGTTTGACTACTTAGAAAGAATTGAGTTAATTTATTACAAGTTGGATCACTTGTTTTCTCATTTAAAGCTTTTCTCGGATTTTCTTCCAATTCCTCAGAATAATTTGCTGTCCGATCATAGTTTAGGTTTGAAGAGCCACTTCACTGGGAGCTAATATCTCCCCGATCCTGAGGAAATATTAAATATTACTTCTTGTGGGAAAGACAAATTTACAGGCCTGTTGAACTCTGTTTCTTTCACAAAACAATGTCTGCATTCTTATGAAAGGTTGGCAGGAACAAAGCTCCTTAAAAGTCAGTCTGGTTTGTTGAACTGTCATCTGTGTGTAAACATAAACATGGTTAACATCAGATGCATTTGCAGTGAAAATGGTTACACACACAAACAGACTGGACTAAAAATAAGTGAATTCAATGAGACACTGGCTCATTTTCTTGAGACAGAGTCTCTAGAAAATGCTTTATCACTTTAGGAAAAGCCTGTTTAACTATTATTGCTAATCATTTTGGTCCTTAGCATATACATGTGATGTATTCCAAACGTTCTGCAGTAGATTTAACACTAACTTTCTCAAAATAACAGGCGGAAAAGATAAGTGGAAATTTTTAGACTCCTGTGTCAAACAGGCCTTATGATTTTGAAGTGTTTCAGTGCATTTCTCTTCATCCACTTCACTGTGACCTTGTTGACCTCATCAAAAGTTCCTGTCTCGCTTCACTTCCTGTTTTAATTTTATCTCCTTGCATTACCCCTACATTATTCTCCCTTCAAAGCTCTCCATGACACCTTAAACCCCTCCTAGGTTTGTCCTTCTGTTTTCCCCTCACACAGGTTTTCTCTACGCAACTTTGTAACTTTCTTAGCCTGAATCCTCTCTGCTGCCTCCTCTTCGCATTCTGTCATTATTGTTCTGTTCTTTGCTAAAACTGTTTTAATGCAGCAGTCGTTCACCTTACAGCTGAACAAGTTTGGTTGGGAAGTTACTGCAGCAAAGGTAAGGTAAACATGCTGCAGAGGATCTGTAGGCTAGAGGACATGGTGATGACGCTTGTTAATACCTATCTAACCACTAAGTTAACTAGCTAATGAGCTATGTAGCTAATGAGAAATTTGGCTAATGAGCCGGCTGTCTGGTTAGCTAGCTATCTAGCTAATGAGCTATCTAGCTAATGAGAGATCTAGCTAATGAGCGTCCGTTTGTCTTTCTTGGTGGTGGGACTCAGTTAAACTTTTTGAATTAATTCCAGGGTCTGTAATTAACAAATTGAAATTAATCGCATTTTTATTGAAAACTATGTACTGAAAAAATATTTTCAAACCAAAACAATCATTTGCTACTAAATTATTGAATAAATTCACATATAAGCTCAACAACAAAGTTATTTAATTGCTTTTAACTTTTAATTTCAAGGTTCCAGCTGAGAACTTTTGAAGGAAAAAAAAAAAGTGATTTATTATATACTTTTTTTTTTATGTGTTTAAATCTATGTGATTACTTTATCAAGGTTCAGGTGTGCAAGTATTTATTTTCCTTTTGAGAGTGCGTCCTTACTGTGTGGGCTTTTCAAAAGTCTGCAGCTGAACGGATCTGTACAGGGTTTATGGTTGAGCGACCATATCTTCTGCAAACTGAGCATTGAACCACAAAATGTTATTAAAAAGACAAACATTTTTTGTTTAAAAACATGTTAACTTGATTAAAAAGTAAAAATTGAGGACCTTCATGAAGACATGAAGGACTTAATTTGTTGGGAATAATCAAATGGATTAAGCCAGTCTGGTTTCCAACATATTTGCTGTAATTCAATTTGAAAAGGACATTTGAGCCAAAAATCTTGTGTTTTCAGAGTGTTTTTTTTTTTTTTACTAAATAATGACTGAAAATCAAGAGATACTATACTTATATGTCTTACGTTTAGAAGAAGCATAAGGCTGTTTACTGCAAAAACACAAAATGTCAACAAGAACTTTTCAATTAAAACAAAACCACATTGCTGAAAAGTCACTTTGAAGTTAGTTTTGTCTTAATTCAAGTGTACTGAAATATTTGCATTAGAAACTAGACCAAGTGGCTACATTAGCATCAGCACGTTGCTAACATTCATGATTTCAACAACCAGAACAACGTCTGGCTCTGAAGCCAAAAGTGGTGTCGTCCAATCAGAGATGTCTGAGGTTTCCCACTGGGACCTAGCTCTACCGTTTTGCTAATGTCGTCGTGTCTTCTTAATTTATAGCTGTGCTTGGCTAATGCTGTTGTGTTTTTCAATTTGTAGTTGTGTTTAGTGGTTTGAACTTCAGGGCCACCGAAGAAAACCTGTCAGAGGTTCACTTTCCCTCAGTCACGACTGTAAACATTTGTTTAAAACTGGAAGAGACAAACTTTGCACATTTTGTCTTTTCCTTACTGTAGCGCTGTCAGTGAGCTCTAAGTATACATTTTCCCTCTTGTGTAAGTGGCTCGGTCTGCTAGGCTAATAGCCTGCATGCTGAGTGCGTGTCTGCAGGTGAAGTGAAGCTCTTGAACTATCCGTGCTTTATCCCCTCGCTAAAGCATTTAGCTTTCCTGACCTTGTGCTGCACCAAAAACCATGGGACTCTAATACACACACCCACACACACACACACCCACACAAACACACACACACACACACACGCACACACACACACACACACACACAGTAAATTTTCTTTACTGCATACTAAAATAGTCTTTAATCGCCAAACTTCATTTCACTGCCTCCTCTCTGTCTTCTTACCCTCTCTCCCACACAGAAGTAAAACACCGATGTACTCCACTCATGAAGCTGCCAGCCTACTCAACATTTATTTTAGCTCTGTCTTTTTTCTCTCTGGAAAATTGAGTGATCCTCTGTGCATTTTTTGGGGCTATGTTGTGTGTGTTCCCAGTGCTGCTGGAAAGAAGCTATTAAGCTCTATCTGAGCAATGATCAATGGCTGGTCTGAGCCTTATGGATAACAGGAGAACGCGGGCATTTCTCACTGGAGAGCACTACCTTCTTCTCTGCAACACTTCCCACTCCGCAAGGATTTATTCCAGGCTTTGCCCCAAACAGCGTGATGAGTAATTGTTGTTAGCTGTGCTACTATGAGCTTTAAACGAGGTCAATGAGACAAGCTGCTCTCGGTTGGCGGGAGTTTCGTACGGATAAGCTAGAGGCACGGTTTGTCCAGTGAGGAAAATGAGCACAAGTGAACAGAAAAGCAGAATTCAAGAAGAAAACACATTTTAAATTGCTGCCAGAAACGGGTTAGATAAACACCTTGATGCAGCGCATGCTAGTAAATATGGCATTGCAGAGTTTTTGCAGATTTTCTAATGAATACTAATTAGAAAAGAGGTGGTTTAATATGTATGTACAAATATGCAGAAGAATAATCAGCCTCAAAAACATGGAGGTCGTTTCCCAAGATAAATAATAAATATTGAGGGAACTCATCTTCACCATGTGTAAAACCTTTAAACTAGGGATGCAAACAGATAATCAACTTACGGTTACTTGTTGATTAATTGTTTATTTGATTAAAATTAGTTCCAATTTATTAACTGATAACGTCCATTTAGGCCTTCTTTTAGTGTTGTAGTTTGGCCGCCATCCAGCAGAGGGCGCCGCTGGTCGTCCATAAGCTGCGAAGCCATAGCCAGCTGATAGAGGATTCAAGATGGCAGTGACATTGAAGAACGGAAAAGAGAAACGGTCCAAACAGAGTCTGGTGAGGGATGGAAAATGCACTTAAATAATGTTTTGAAATATAAAAACTCGACCAGCTCACCTTAATAACTCTCATTCAGCCGAGTTACATGACAGAGCATCAACTCCTGATTCAAAAATTACTTTTGTGCTACGAAGGCGAGAACTTGATGACAGAAAATCAGAGCCTGACAGAAAAAATTGTACCATTATGAAAAAAAAAAACCAACTTAACAAAAAGCAAGGTTTGTTTTGAGGGCTTTCGTGAATTAATAGACTTCATAGAGCGAAGTTTTAACAATACCTTCTAGAGTTCTGTCTGTTCTTCTGTACTTCATACAAAAGTACAGCCAGTACTTAGCTCTCTTCTCATGGGGAATTAAGCATATTTAATTATTTTCTTCTTTTATTTTTATATTTGGCAACCTAATATGTTCCCGCTATTAAATTTAGATGTCTCATGCTATTGAACTTAGAAATTACAATTTTCTGTTAATTTAGTCAGTATTAAATACAGCTGAAAAATTAATGTTTTTTTTTATTATTCAACATATTATGAAACATGTTGCGCTTTATGTTATGGAAAGACAGTCGGCCCTCTTGATACAAGAGAAAACAAAAGTTGTGAAGAAAATGGCCGCTTACCAATTAATTATTGGTCGATGGATAAGATCAATTAACTCTGGATTAACTTCATTAATCGATAACTTGCGTCAAAACTAATGACAAATAGTGAAAATTGGCTACGTAATTTGAGTTTTATGTCTTCGGACATAAAACTGAACATTTTTGTCTCAACTGATTGATTATTCAATTGGGACTCCACGTGAAAATGTAGACTTCAAAGGAAAATATTGTTGCATTTTTTCCACCTTTTTACAATTACTCTTTCTTGTTGCTCTTTAGTTTTACTATATAAATTAATTTTCTGTAAGACCGTCAATTGCTATGGATGGAGACAACAGCAGAGACGGCAGAAAAACAATCTTAAAAGGATATTAGGATGGAACAAAGATGATAAGGTCATAGAGCGACAGAAGGCATATGGAGACGGTAAATTGCTTTGTCACAGCGTATTTAGTGTTTAAGTTGGAAATGGTGGCCTCAAACACATTTTCACATCATCTGCAAATTACTGCAACCTGAAGGTCCACACTGTAATAAAACAGTGTGAAGAGCCATTTATTAAAAATAGCGGCCCTGGATTCATGCGGCGAGAACAAGTGTGTGTGTGTTGTCCTCTGGGTGAGTGTAATCTCAGCGGATTGTTAATCCAAGCTGCTCCCTCTTTCCCCAGCTTCATTAATCTGCCACCAGTATGTGTCTCATTTTCTCTTGACACACATCCACACACACTTCCTCTCCTGTGTAGCCAGTGAATGAGACACACAAGAGAACATGTGGAGTATTCTGAAAGAATGTTTCTTAAATTGTCGACATGTCGGACCCAATTTCTGATGCAATCTCTCTTTTTGGATTTAGCTATTCATTTTCAAAGCCTGTGCATTCACGCCACTCTACGTACGTACATGTTTTACAGCTGAATGTATGGAAAGGAACATGACCTCTTGTCTCAGTGTCTGACATCAGATTGAACCGTTCCTGGTTCGGATCAGTTCGGATTGCCTAAATTATCATTTATATTGTTTATCGAATACCAAAGTTTATCACATCACTGCAGAAATAGAAAATCTTACAAAGTACTTTTGGCCTAGTTTCTAGTTCAAATATCTTAGCAGACTTGAAATGAGAGAAAACTAACTTACAAGTAACTTTTCAACAAAATATAAGAGCTTGTTTTAGGTCAGTTTTGTCTTAATAATGATGAAAAAGTTCTTGTTCCATTGGCAGATAATTTCACTTTAACATGGGGAAAAATGTCTTGTTTTAAGTGAAATTATTTGCCAGTTGAACTAATACTATTATATCAATATTAAGTAATTATTTACTTAAAGCAAGTAACTACATCTTGCATTAAAGGTACTGGTAAGTAATCTTTGTCTTATTTCAAGTGTACAGAGATATTTGCTCTAGAAATGAGACCAAAAACACTTGGTAAGATTTTGTGTTATTTCAGTGATACTTTTTTTTTTTTTTTTTTTTACCTTCTTCAAATTCAGAAGTTTACTTTTGTTTTACCAGTATGGTTGCATTTTAAGTTACTGTCATTGTAGAGTAAGTTGTCCTTTAAGCAACGCAATATTTTTGGGATTCTGTCCCATTCCTTGTGACAGACCTGGTGTTACTGTTTCAGGTTTTTGGGCCACGTTGCTCATAATTTTCAACTTTCTTTGGAACTTTGAGGTTTTTTGTCAAAATATTTTGTCAAATATTTGGCTCTAATATTTGTACTTTCTGGCTTTTGTTACTACCAAATTAGCCAGATTAGTTATATTGTACCTATTCTGGCTGAATATGTTGAGTGACTGTCCATTTAGAAGACCCATTTGTGTCAATGATTGTACTTTGTCTCTTATTTTGAAATGTTTCTTTAACATTTCCACATATTTCCTCTTGATGCTATCTGCTTTGTGAAGTGCCTCCGTCCCTTCTGCAGCAAAACTCTCACACAACATGACACCAACATGTGTCGGTGACAGATTCTAATGTCAACAATGGTTGTCAAGTTTCATCAGACCAAATGTCTCCAAACATTAAGACTTTTGTCCTCGAGTTCATTTGCAAATTTCAACCTGCTTTTAATGTAGTTTGGAATAATGGCTTCTTCCTTTCCGAGTGTCTTTTCATCCCAAGTCAGGACAGAATTTGTTTCATCTAATGATACAAACTAGTCAGTGGGGGTCATAGACAAAGTGTCACTTGCTGCGTTTCCATTACGAATGTGAACGAAACTTTGTCAATATTCTGCTAACGCCCAAAAACACAATTTCACAACTGCTGTGGTTCCATTTAAATAAGAGACGTAATTAGAATCACACCTGGATAAGTTTGTTCACAAGATAAATCCCTAAAAATCATGCTGCGCCGTCGTCCTCACACCACTTCCTGTCGTCTTTTTCTTTGTGACAACATCCAGTTGTTGATCATGTGACATGTGTGATGCAAATAAAGTGTTTCCATTGGAATTTTGCACAATCAGCCAATTTCAATACGGCCCAAAAAAAAAAAAAAATCTACCTCTTACTGGCGCCAAAGCAACTCAACATGTTACTACACAGCGAGGTTAATGGACACACTCCACCTCTTACATCCATTTCCTGTGTAAAAGCCATCGTCTTCTCTGTAAATAGCAAACACAAATGTGGTCCTAATCTTTATAAATTAGCATAAACTGAGCTGAAATTCTTGAGGTTGTAAAACTGGAGAGGAGAAAACAAATGTTTTAAATGTTTTAAGTTTAGCAAAATTACAATACCTGTGCAGAAACATGAAGACAAAACATGTTCAGGTGAGACAGACTTGTAAAAAGTGGTCGCAAACTACACATAATGTTAAAAATGAGGTTAGTTTCCCACTGAAACGAATTTACAAAATGTCACTTTTGCAACACATAAAAAGCAACTATCAGTCAAAAAAATTAACTGATTTCCAATTAAATAATCATAATTTCTATTGACCTGATCCGTTTGCCTATTTTTGTCCTTTTCAGCTACAATAATATTGCAAATTACAAAAATAACCCTTTTCCCTTTTATTCCAGAAACACTGTTGTTACACCAATGGTACCATAACCATTTCTCTGTGTGAAACAAGCAGCATAAAAACAAGCAGCATCGATTAACTCTCTGCAGCGCTGGCTGCACCTCTGCTTAACTTTTACTTTTCTTATTACCCACCATCCTTTTCCTCCTACTCTTCATCCTCCTCCTCCTCCTCTGCACCTCCCTCCCACTGCTTTTACCGCTCCTTGTTCTTTTTTTGGTCACGGTTGTAATTCTCTCTGCCTTTTCTCTCTTTATTGTTGCTGCTTTTTTTTTTTTTTGCCTCTCTTAGTCTTTCAAGCTTGACTTCAGCAGATATTCAAAACAAAAATGAACATAAGAAGGATTTATTTTTTAGGTAAATTGTGGCCAAAAAGTTGCATGGTGAATGAAGTAGTTTGTGTGAGTGGGTCTGTCTAAAAGGCTTTATTTTTTTTATTTTTTTTGTCTAAAATGCGTTAATGGAGTCTGGTGAGCTCTACTTTCCATGCACATTCACTCTGACAGGCTTTTATTCCACACACTAATGACAACCTGGGAGGTTAAGAATTCATCCACCTTTACAAAACGCCTTTTATTGCTTTCCAGTATTTTCACATCTGCTCTTCACCTACACAGTTTTTGCATATATTCCATGAACATGTAACAGCTCAGTCACAGATTGTACCTCTGATGGCCTCAGCTTCCTAACTGGATACATTTCTCTTTTTGTTTGGGAATACTGACTATTTCTTAACAGATTCCAGTTAAGAAATATCACCAGGTGACACCAAAATGTCAACTTGCTGCTTTTGTTTCTCTGTTCATATTTGAACTGGTCTTCAAATAATTTGTTGAACTCTGAATTTTCAACTTATTTTACCGTGCCTTCATTTTTAAATTGTAATTTTCATGGTATTTGTGTATCACTTTCCACCTTTTGAGCAAAAACCTCAATTTTCTAAGCAGAATAATTTACATCCTTCATTAACTCACACACAAACACTCACCCATCACTCTCCAGAAACTAAAAAGTGTGCGAAGTCTTACCCGTCATTGCTCACTCTTGGTGCTCAGTCCGCCTGCTTCGCTCTGACTCTCTCTGTTCCTCTCTTCTCGTTCTTTCACTCACTTGCTTTTTTAAATCTTCTTTTTTTTTCCTCCCCCCCGTCTTGTTCGTCTCAGGCAATGTTTGACTTTCGCGGGAACGGCAAGGCAGAGTTAAACCTGAAGAGGGGAGAAGTGATCTTCCTGCTGCGACGAGTCAATGCCGACTGGCTGGAGGTAAGAACGGAGAGCGGGGAGAGAGAGGGAGAGACGGAGAGCGGAGGAGGGAGAGAGGGAACGCGTGAGAGGTGGGGGGAGGCAAAAAGAGTTGGAGGAGAAGAAGAGGTGGATGGAAAGGAACAGAGAAGGATAAAAAATAATTGATAAAAAAAACAGTGAAGCTGGCAACTGTTAAAAATCTAAAAAGTGCTGAAACGTATACTATCCATTTTGATCTGACGAAATAAAAGGGCAACCAAGTCCAACTTTGAGTTATTCAAGGTTTGTAGGAGGAAAGGAAAGAACCAACCGCGTCATAAAGACCAAGGAACAAAGCTGATAAAGTTGTAGAGAACTTTGAAGCTGAGTTGGGCCATAAAGTAAAATGACCAACTCTGAAAACCTCACAGTTTGTTTGCATTACAACAAGCGACGCACTCCAAAAAATTCATCCTTTATGTAAGAGAAAGAAGCTAAATGTGGAAAATGGAAACCGAATCAGAACTTCTATCCAACTAATAAAACACATAATGGAGAAAACCTCACAACCTGCAGAATCTAAGGAGCCAAACTCACTAAAACTCATGTAACGTGGTATAATATTTTGAAAAAATAAAAGACAACTTGCATGTTTTTTTTTAAACATGAGACCGTTTATTGTAATTGTTGAAGAATGTGATTTTTTATTTAGAAGGGCAGTATCATGTGAAATAAACTTTTTTGAGCTTTACATCATGTTCTAATGTAAACACACCTGGAGTTTCGCTTTGATTCTTTCATGCAAAGAATCAAAGCAAAACTAAATGGTTGAATCTCCCGTATCAACCATTTAGCTATGTAAAACGCCTGGTTGGACCTAGCCCCGCCTCCAAGGACGAAGCTCCTCCTCAGAGCTGCAGCCTCCAATCTTCTGCCTCACGGAGCAACTCCTCCACTCGGCTACTTCAGACTAGCCAGCAGCAATTAGCAAACACCTGGTGGAACTCCAAAACCGACTTTTGACCACTGAGCAACTTTTGCACATTAGCTCTGGTTAGACGCCTGTGATGTCATTTCCGGTTCAAGTGTGGCTTAAAATAATAATAATGTATCCAAGCAGAGCTTCTTTAGCAATGATTATGGGTTTCCTCTTTGTGGAAATAAATCTGATTTATTTAGATTTACATGGATGTACAGAAAACACAAAAGTGTTGTTCTTATCCAGGAGCAAAGAGATGTTAGAATGAATAACAGTGAGAAGAGAAGACAGAAAATAGATATTAAATGAGAAATAATAATAATGATAATAAACGGTCTGATTAGAAGCTAAGCCTGCCATCCAAAATCACACATTTTAATTAGCAGCTCGACTCTGAAATACAGACGTCGGCAAGCAATATAATTGGAATAAATTCTGGTCAGTCTTAAAATAAAAATATTAAAAAATAGTGAGGCAGCATGATATGTATAAGAAAATGTAAAGTTAAGAAACAAGAGTTGAAAGTGAGTGGGAGAAAGAAACAAAAGGTGGAAGCTGATGTGATGGAGTGAGAATAAACATGGAGGAGGAAAAGGCACTTAACCTGAACGGGAGTTCAGAATTGGATCCAAAAAGGCAGAACATAAAAACCTTGGTCCGTTCGTTCTCGCCAACAAACGCAGCACAACGTTCTGCAAAAGTGTTGAACCAGTCTGAATTTCTTCAGGTTTGCTTCCAAGGAGAAAGACTTTGATGTAATCTTTCAGCAGGGTTCAGATCAGTTTTCCTTCAAGCTGTTCCTGGATATTTTCTATCCATTGATTTTGCATCTGATTATGATGTTATATTACTCTATTCTTAAAGAAAAAGAGACATCAGGACAAGTGAAAGAAAGAATAAACAGGGTTAGGTCTAAGAAACCAGCTACATTGTATATGCAGTAAATAAATATCCTGTGTTGATGAAATTAAAGACCTAAAACAATGATTTGTGCCTCTACATGCAGAATTTGCTGCTAAAATCCTGTTTTCTGTCTCAAGCAGAGTTAATTATTTAATGGAGACCCCACAATTGCGAGATTGTTTTTTTTTTTCTACATTGGCAGAATACTGACAAAGTTCTGCATGAATTTGTAATGGAAACTAGAAAAGCTTCCATTAAAAAAAAAAAAAAGCCATTGTCATTTTTGAAGATTCAACAAAATAAATGAAAGAAACATATTTCATCGAGACAAGAAACTGCGCCTAAACATCCAGGCTCTTTTAATGGCTGTCTCATTTACAGGTTGGGTTTACTGAATGAAAATAATAAAAAAAAAAGAAACAAAGGTTCACTGGACAGATATGTTTGACTGAAAATTAGTTAAAACATTTTTTTTATTACTCTTCAACAGATATAAAGAAAACCTGCAGAAACATAGATCCAGAGCACTTAACGTTTAAAATTAAAATTGGTTTGTTTCCCTTCTCTTAATGATTTTATTCATTTCTTATTTTCTTTTTTTTCTTTTTACAGACAGGCAGCATTCACTTAATATGTATCTGATTTGTCCTCTCTGTGTTGTCCAATCACAGTTCTTTGAGTCAAATATTGATTTCAGGCTCATGTTGTGAAAGTTTGCACATGGTTTTCATTTTTCCAGACTAACAGGCTCAGATATCAGGGCCGTGCTAACGGAGCTTTACGACCGCGCCGAGTGCCTCTCACATGAGCAGCACGTTATGAGCTGCCTAATTATTCCACCAAGCCTCTCTGGCTGCGCATCTGTTCGGGTTCTTTTTTTTCCTCATTTCTCTCTTTGAATTACCTCCATCCTCTGAGACTCTCCTCATCACATCAGTGTTTCTCTCTTCTCTCATTTTCTTCAGGGGACGGTGAACAATCAAACAGGTATTTTCCCAGAATCCTTTGTGAAGATTATTAAGCCCCTCCCAGAAAGTGACTCTGAGGGTGAAGGCGGGGGCCACACCTACAGCTGCCTCCGCTGTTTCCTGCTCACCCCATCCGGAGTGGAAACCAGGTCGGTTTGATCGATCGACGACGTTTCTTGTGTTTTATTGTTGCTCTCTGTATAACATGAAGTACTAGATATTCACATTTATTGCAAAAGAAAGACACATTCCTCTTTTCTCACTTCCTGACATTTAATCAGACTAAACATTTCGTCTTTTAGGTCGTTTAGATTTTCCAACATTTCTGTTTCTGAAATACCAGAGAAGATTTTTTAAATTATTATTATTCTTTGAATTCAGATGTTTACATCCATTTCCTTAGTATAATTAAGTCCTTTCACGAGTTTCTTCCAACAGTTTGCAGGATTTCTGTCCCATTCCTCCAGACAGGATTAGTATAGACATGTTGCATATTATTGCTTTCATCAGGAAATTTTACACATGTGAACAATGCTGGAGGACAAAAACACAATTTTTTTACATGCCGCTCATGGCAGCGTTGTTGCGGTAGAAAACTTCTGTTAAAGTTTTCTGAAACCTGGAGATGGTGGTGTTGTTAATCGTGCTCTGCTCCACAGCAAAGGGAAAAATAATACAGAAGAACCATTAAAGAACAACTCAAAACCACTCTTTTTATTTTATTTTATTTTTTTTGCTCACTGTCTCGTCTATGCTGCACACACACACACACACGCACACACACACACACACAGAGCCGTTACCATAGCAACTGACTTACAACAGCTCCTCTATATGACAAGTCAGACGTTATGTTCCAGTTTATCGGGATTTAACACCAAAAACATGTGAATGTTTCTCACACAAAGAACAGGACATTCAGTCTGTTACAGTTTTATGTTTTCAGGCTCGACGTTTATTTTGTGATAATTAATAAGTGGTGCTGTTTGATTAGCTCAACATCTGCTCTATTGATGATCAGTCAGAGAGTCGGTGTGTGTAACCGAACCGAAACACACCGAATTACACAGCATGTCTACAGTCAAGCTAGCGTAACTGAGCTACGTCCCTCTCACTTGCTATTTTTCCTTCAAGCTTTTTCCTGGCCTGTGAAATGTGATGACCCTGAACCCTGATAACTAAAACACTGAGTCCCTTTTTATTTCATATTTCACCTGCACATTTAAGACTCAGTGTGTTGTGTTGTCAGCTTGACAGCTAAAAAATGGAGTAGTGATTGTTGGTGAGCAGGTTTTTCTGCCCTCCAGCAGGGAGATGAGGGCTGGACGTCATGGTGCAACCTGTCTGTAAATGTAAATGTATGTAAATATATGACTTCTACTGTATTTCTAAACAGTACTGCTACTGCAGACATCCTCCAGGTGCAGATGGTCAGAACAAAGGTGGCTGTCTGCTCTCAACAGGGAACCTGTATACTGTCTGAGGTTGACAGACTTTGTTTTGCACCACTTAAAATCTACTGAAATAAGACAATAAAAACCATCGTCCTCACTGTGGAATTTAACTGTTTCTCCTTCTGTCTCTGGTAATTAAGGTGTGAATCTTTACAGGCTAATTTTTGATCATCTTTGCCCATTCTCACAGAGACGTGTGTGTACAAGAGGCACTCACCATCCAGCCAACGTACAGCGAACTGGTGTGCCGCATGAGGTGAGCGCTGTGCTGCTTCTGCTTTCGTTGTGCCGGTTCAACGTTTTTGTGGGTAAAACTGAGAATTTGACGTCTGTAAGAGCTTGTTGCATTTGCATCGATGTGAGGAAACACAAATATAGGTGTCGCTCTTATATGTTTCATAAGCTGTGCAGAGGTAAAGGTATCATGTGCAACTTCACACCTTTTAGATATGTGATAATGGCTTATTTGGTGGAACAATGGGGTGAAGATTCGGGACACGCTATGGATATTTTTCCATGTGTGAAGGAGGAGTCGGGTGTCATTTGCCTCTTACTGCAAATGAGAGACAAAATCTGTTTTCTGCTGTTATTAAAACTGAAATCATCCAAACGTATTTATTCAATTGACAGCTGATCTAATTCATCTAGGCTTCGCCTCTAGTGCTCATTCAGATAGGTAAATAATTTCACTTCTATATGCTGCACAAAAAGAATGAAAACCTTTTGAACATTTTGTCAGTGCAACCAGTTCTTTACAAAATTCTTCAGTGTGTTAATCTCAGGATAAATCCAGTTTTTCTGAAGAAAGTGGGAGCTGCAAACTCATTTTCAAGTCCTATTTAAAAAAAAACACTTTATCACTTTTTATAAGGTGTTGTCACATCTTTTAAAAGTTTTATGCAGTCTTAAATGTGTGTGTGTGTAAAATCAAGTTCTTAAAAGTTCTTAAAAATGTCACATTGGCCTTAAATACATTAATCACAGGTCTTAAATTTTGTTGTGACAGGACTATTTAACGGACATTCTCGCACAAGTAGTAGTGGGCAGAAATCTTTGTGGCGTTCTGTGACTCGAGGTGGTTGAGGCTAAAGCTAACTAGCTACTAATATAACCTTACTAGCTAGTTAAGTGTTTGCTTCTATCATGGGCAAATTTATCGCCAGTTGGATGGATGACATTAATTTTCGCCTCTCGCTCATTTCTGTTGCCAACCAAAATGAGGCGAAGCGCAAAAAACTTTTTCCCTTTTAAAGGTGACACAGGCAGCGTGTGACGCACAAAGCTGCTGCCGAGAGCTGCAAACAGACCCAGAAGTTTCACGGTTTTTGCCAAGATTGATAATCCCCCAACCATCCTATATTCTTAGTTTGTTTTTTTGTCTGAAATATTATTCAGGGTGGCATAAAAAAGGTCTTGAAATATCGACTTGCTGAAACCTGCAGGTGCACTGTTATCAATGAACACATTTTGTTACTCAATCACATCCCAATCAAAGGCATTCCAGTTTGTCTGTAATGTCATAAAAATGAAAAAAACAAAACGGAAGTGGGTGTTAGTACTTTTACAAGGCGTTTGTTTTTATTTCTTAGTTTTGCTGATGTGAGTTGATTCTCAGTCTCTGCCTATCTTGCGATGATGTTCTATATCTTAAGGCGGCTAACGGTCTGTTCACTGACCTTGTTATGTGCTGCAATACTTACCACTTTCCAATCATCAGAATCAATCAAAATAAATTCCTTTGGGACCGTTCTTGGCTCCTCCTCCACCGCCTCACTGGCTGTCTGTTCTTCTTTGTCCCCTTTTCTTTCATGCATCCTCTCTCCCTCCATCTCTCATTATTTGCTCATTTAGATAGGTGAGTGCTACGACGACTGAACCCCCCCCTCCTCTATTTATAATCAGCTCATTTCCTCTGCTTATCTGCTCATTATTGTTTGTCCGTGTTTGGGGCTATTGTGCCCCGGAGTCGGACGGATGAGACTCTGCTCTTGAGTTTTAATAGGGCTCAGCGCTGATAACTAGAGGGAGAGAGGCAGATTAGAGAGTGAGGGTGTGATGCTGTAAAATGAGTAAATGGGATTTAGAGGAAGAGGAAATATTAACACTTTATTGAAAAGGAAAGAGGCTGTGATTGAGTTGGGGGGGGGTGTAGTGTAAATTAGTCAGCAATTTTAATTGATTAAAAGTCTTATTCTAGTTTAACTTTTGACACATTCAATCCACGGTTGGTCACTAGGCAACCGGTGTCTACCTCCGGCAGTAGTTCACAAAATTTGTTTTGCTGTTAAGATAATGTTAAAAAAAAAAACAAACAAAAAAACAATTTCACAGTGGCAGTTTTTCCTTTAAATAAGAAATGCAACTAAAATCACACATGAATAAGTTCATCCTCCTACCACTTCCCGTCGTTGTCTTCTTTGTCATTTCCGCCAGTAGTAACATCCGGTCGTTGATTATGTGACTCACGTGGTGCAAAAAAAAAAAAAAAGTGTTTTCATTGCAGTTTTGCGAAATAAGCTAATTTGGATGCAGCTGAAAAACCACCTCATCTTAGTGTAAAACTCTGTCTCAGAACAGCCAAACACCACTTCAGACCACAGTAAAACATTTTCTTTTTTGGAAAATTAGTTAGTTATTTTGACTTTTAGCATTTCTATCAATCTTTTTTAATGCAATACTTAAAAAAAAGCAGCAGACCACTTCCTTCAGACCCAAGGTGTGTCAACAGTGAACATTAATTGTGTAGCAATCTTTTGTTCTTTCATTCTCAGGGTTTTTCGTTCATTATGAAGGGTTATAAACAATACTTCTAGGAACAAACTCACTTTAGGCCAGTTTCAGTAAGCAGTAACATGATTGCTGTGTGAAACGTTTGTTTCATCTATTTGACCCAGAACATTTTTCCCCGTTTCTTTAATTTCTCTAAACGTTTTACTTTACATTAGCCATCAGCTTAGTGCATTTTCACTATGGGATCCAAAACCATTCTGTTTACATAAATTCTGGATTATATCACTGCTCTTCCTGTGGGAGTGTTACTGCTCCAGGTTCAGCTATCTAAGGAAACGAGTGACTGCCCACTGCAGACCGGCGTCCACAGAGAAACCGGCCGAATCGGCTCTAATCTCAGATTGATTCATAGCAACTATGGTATAAAAGACGAGTAAAGTTCCTTTTGCTTTCATCAGTACCAGTAAGTTGTGGATTAGAGCGGAGGTCCAGTAGGGATTATTAATCTGTAGTTTCAAACTACATCATTATTATAATTTTTAAGAGGTTACACCCTAAAACTGAATTAAAATCCCTTCTAAAATGCAGTTAGGTGTAACAGATCTAAAATGGTCAAAACCAATTCTACAGCACACACTTGTTGAAAATGTTTCATCTAGATTATTACAGACTCTCTCCCTCTCTCTCTCTCTCTCTGTCAGGAATGTCTTCAAGGTGGACGACATCGCCCTGAACTACCGCGACCCCGAGGGCGACCTCATACGCCTTCTCGACGACGAGGACGTCCAGCTGATGATCAAGGAGGGCAGGCGTCAGCAGGGCCGAGTCCAGAGGCCGGTCAACCAGTTTCCATGGGAACTGCATGTGAGCATGGCCTCTGACCTCTCAGTTTACGGCTCTGAGCCCTGAGAGAAATATTTAAACGTGGCGCAAGACAGAAGGAAGTATGGGAGCTAATGATCGCTGCTGTACGTTTATTCCTGACGGGTCCAAACATTTCACTTAGCAGAATAAACTAATTTCAAATCATTCTTGTACACTTGTATTTATTTAAAAGCCTTTTGCGGGCAGTTTTAGGACAAGAAAACGTTTTACTTGTCCTAAAGTAAACGAGTTTGGTGTTAAACTTGTTGAGTCGCACAGAAACCTCTTTCAGACAGTGAGGATGTCCAGATGTCGTTATCCTTTGGCACTTTTATGGTAAAAACATAAGTATTTTAAATGTTGGGAGTGCTTTATAAAGTGCATCTCCCTTCCAGTAAACTGAAATTACCTGCATTATCATTTCATGTCTGCATATTTCTGTCTGTCAGCCCTCTCAGGGACTCTGACATCCTGACATTTCTCTCCATCTCACACCCTGCATAACCCACCATGGAGGCACATTCACCCTCTCCCCGGAATATAATTACCGGCTCTTCCTCGGGAGTTGCTGCTATACGTCAAATTAAGGAATATAATGAATGTTATTAAGGCCAGCACTGCGTCAGAGTGCAGAAACGTACTGAGAACTGCTGATAAAAGGTGGGAAACGTTCCACAAAACCCAGAAAACTGGAAGTTAAGGTCACATCTTATTCATGTTTTATTATTTGTATTTTTTACAGCATATTTTCAGAAGCATTATTGATTTGAATTAAGATTATAGCCGTCACAGAGGCCGAGTCTCGGTAGGTAATTTAAAACACGTTGAGTTGAAATGACGTTTCACGGCAGACTTGAGCTGCAGGCGCTGACAGAATGCGGCAGAGGAACTTGGTACGCTCCGTATCTTTGACAGTGAGGACCCTGACAGGAAGCCGCTCCTGGGAATTCGCCTCTGCTTGAAGAATCAACAAGGGGAGAGCCACAGGGAAGACAGGCAGCTCAGTGGCTCTGCACCAGGAGAACGGCAGCGTCTCAAAATGATCTACCTGACGGATCAGGATACGTTGGATCACACCGGTATGAGCAGCAAAGTGCTAAATGTGGAGTCGCTCGGTGCGATAGGTTAATTGGGTCGGATCTTCTTTAGAAGCGCTCGCTCCTCTGAGTCCATCCTCGGCCAGTTTCTGGTGTCAGAATCAGAGGAGGGACGTGAATCCAGAGGGGCGGAGACAGGAGAGCTGAGGGAGGTTACAGAGGATGACTAGGTCGCAATTAGCGCTGCTGTCAATGGAGAAATGAGAACGTGAACTCATCCTGTGTGATGCATCAGTGGCAGCAGGATTTCACCCTAAAATATTATTCGCTGTTCTCCTTCCGTCAGGAAGACGATCCCCAACATTAATACTAAGGGTGCATCGATTTATCTACCAGCCGATTTCCTTAATTTTGGGAGATCGGTGATCCGCCAGTACTTACACGTCTAATCACACAGGTCTAAAAATGAGCCAATGTCCTCGTCTGCTCTGCCATTAGACAGGTTTTGACTGACAGATTGGCCGGTCAGGTTATATTTGCACGTTTGCACTTAGCAGTAGTCACCCCACTGTTGCCAAATCCATGACTTTCTTGCTATATTTAACGACATTTCACTTGAAAACAATTGGTATCGGCTAATAAAGGCTCGTTTTGAAGTATAAGCTGCTACTTACAGGCATCGCTTCGAAGAATTCAACCTGTAATGCGGCGTTCATAACAGACACGTGTGTTCATCTGCTCTACCGCTAGCAAACAACCGTACTGATTAAATAACATAAAAGTCAAGCAGTTCCCTAAAAGTCCAACAGATGGCAGCAATGTGCCATGCAAAACAAAACACCCACAGTTTACAGGACACACTTCCTGCTAAAGAGCCCCCTGGTGGTTGAAGAAAAATCCACATATAAACCGGAAAATACAATAAATGAAAAAAAAAATCTGAATGCTCTCTGGTATTGTTCAGGGGGCCGGACCAAATGTGGAGACCCGCGGGCCGTAGTTTGAGGACCCCTGCTGTAATTGAATATATAAATGATTTATTTAAAAATGGAGCAACATACGAAAATTTGTAATTTAACATTTTTAGAAGTGGAAAACTTAGTGTTTAATGTTCAATATTATGTACTTGTAACATTGACTTTGTTTCTTCTATCTGTTCACTTCTGTTACTGTTAACTTCAATGTATTACTGATTAATTTTGGACTCTGTGTAAACCTACATTTACTTTAGTAACTTGTATTTTGTGATCACTGTTTGATCACAGAGCAACATCTAATCCTTTTTTGCATTTTTTAAAAATGTTCTTATTTATTTATTTATTTATTTATTTATTTAATTTTTGGAAATTTTCCTCTACACAGCTGTTAGTTGCTGTTGGAATGTCTTTGTGTTTTCGTAGTAGAACACAAGGAGGCGCTGTTTACACATTAGAGATTCATGCCCTTAGTTGCTCAAACTAACAAACACATAAAAATAATACATACAGAAAACATGTCTGAGTGTTCAGTTAAATTATCTGTTATTTTCAAAATGGCTGATGATAAAAAGTTCAAATCAAATTCCAAGGTATCAAAAAAGTGTCAGAGAAACATGAGGAAAGCCAGGGAAGTGAAATGTCAAACTGTTTCACTTCCCTGGCTGGCATTACAGACACTGTTTTTTTGTTTGTTTGTTTTGTTTTTTCATTTGAAAACAAAATAATTAAAGCTCTCTATGTATGTTAAAAATGATGTTCTCATATTTCTGACTCAGGCTGAATTTACCCTTGCTGCCACAGAGAGGCGCTGCTGCTGTGCTGCTGCCACACATTTGGGGCAATGATCATGCTGCAGAACCAATGCACTTCTCCTTGAACTTAACCTGCTGCAGGGGTCGTCATCCAGAGCCTCCCTGGGTCCTGCAGTTCAGGCAAGAAGCATAATTACTTCACACTGATTTCTGAACAGGCAGTATAGCGGCCCACTGTTGTCTTACAGCAAAAAGATTTCTGCGTGGAGTTTGCATCCCTGTGTATGGGTTCTCCTTAATCTGGCTTCAGTCCAGAAACATGACTGCTAGGTTTGTTTTCTCAGGTACGAGTGCATCTCACCAGCTGCGTCTCCATTACAAATGTGCACAAGATCTTGTAAATATATGAGAAACGCAATTAAAATCACACTTGAATAAGTTAGTTTACACCATCATCCTCCTACCACTTCCTGTCGTTGTCTTTGTCATTTCTGCCAGTAGTAACATCCTTCAGTTTTACGAAATACAATAATTTTGATATGGCCGACAAACCAATTAGTCCTTTATCGAGAACCATGTGGGTTTTTCAAAATTGTCATGTTATTAAGCAAATTTATTTTCATAACTCCAATTTGCATAACAATGTGGTCAACGGAAACGCAGCTTACGTTTCCTCATGGTGAACTGCTGACCTGCCAGCGTGTACACCATCTCTTGCCAAATGACCACCGCTGTTCGGCACCAACCCGCTGCAAAGATAAACATTATAAACAATGAGCAAACTTCAATGAACAAACTTATTTCCGTCTGGTATCTTAAACCCATCTTCCATTATTGCAGAATATTAAGATTTCAAACGTTCACTTTGATCCACTTTGAATCCAAAGCAAATGAAAAGAATGCCCAGTAGTTACCGCGTCACCGACGGCGCATAAACCGATGTACATCAAAACACAGGGTGATACGTCGGTGTCCTGCAGCAGCAGATTTTCCATTAGATTAGAGATAAGACCCAAGGCGGCAGAGTGTGATTGGACAGGCGGAGGAGAAATGGAGGACAAACAAAATGAGCAGAGATGGGTTGATGAAAATGTTCAAACAGGGCGACTGGAGTCACACAGATGGCCAGACACACACAGAAGGTCAATTATGAAGCTGTGGAGGAGGCAGAGACTGCATGGAGTCGCTTGTCAAGAACTTGGCTTGTGATGTCGGTGTGAGCATACAGAGTGTGTGCATCTCCGGGCCACTATTAGGCGGTGTTTGTTGTTCCTTGCATGAATTCCTATGTCTGTGTTAACTGCTTTGCATACAAAAATGTGGGCATCACAAAATAATTCTGGGGTTTATATAGAAATTCATGACTGGTTGGTCTCACAACGCTGCTTTGGGTGTGTCGCTGAGGGAGGAGGACTTTAACGACGACGATTTTCAGTAACGGGGAGATGGTTTAAAATCAAGTCGCATGAATTGGTGAGATGTAAAAAGCTACTCGATAGTAAAATATGTTTTCTACAACGTGTCAGTCTGGTTTAGCAAGAAAAGTTTCAGTAAGATACCGACTCACAACAACTACTGTGAAATAATAATAAAAAAAAACATTTCCATGTCAAAGTAACTGTATTATCCCCTTTTCAAATCCAGCAGCTCAGAATATTAATTGTCTTTAAAGTGTAACTCAGCTTTCTGCTTGCAATATTTCCTTGTTATTTCAGTAATAGTACTTGTGGGTGTTAAACAAATTCAATGAAACCTGTACGTTTTTCAGAAAACTAAATGTTTGTAGGATTTACCTACAACGTTTAAAAGAAAAAGCATATTTAAAGTCATTACTAGATAATAAGTTGCTTGATTGTAGAAGGAAACATTTGCTGTGAGAGGCGGTCATCGTCCTTCTCTGATCTTTCAAACATCTGAAAAAATAAAACCAGAGACAAATGTGCCGTTGGAGTACAAAAGCTCGAAGCGGACATGATGTGGAAGAACCACACGCATGTGGACGCCTGCCATAAACACACGGCCCTTTTCTTCAAATAAACTCACACATAGCCACTGAAATAATTCTGCATCCTCACCTACACAGGAACCGTCTGTTCATGCTTCAGACAAACAGGAACACGGCAAATCATTTTGTCCTAGACAAACACACACATACACACACGCACAAAACAGCATCATTGACACCACACCTGAAGAAATACTTTAAACACCCCAGAGACACTTTATTTAGACAACCAATTCCCCGTTCCTTTAACCCATCTTCAAATTTTTCTGCTTCATGTGAAAAAAATCTAGATTTTAGTTATCTAAGTGGCACTTTTAGTAGAGTTGAACATCACTTGTGTATTTTTTTTAGGTTTTATCTCAAGCCTAAAATCACAGTAGCTACAAGATTCAAA